GGAGAAACTCTAGACAGACTTCCGCTTGAACTTTATCTTTCCCTTCCCTAGTCACCCATGCATTGCTAACAAGTCCCTAAAAAGCCTTTAGTGTGTTCACTGCTCCGAGGATAGGAGCTCTTTCCACCTTCGGAGTGTACTCAAAGGACACCTTCGAAGGTATTCCCCGAATTGAAATATTTTACTGCTGGGAGAAGCCCCAGATGCCATTTAGACAGCCTGCACTGAGGAAGCTTAATTCTGGGCTAGTAAGATGTGGGTGCAAGTAGCAAGGCTCCGCAGGTCTGTCAGAGAGAGAGCACTAGCTCTGGGTGGTGCATGCTCTTCCCACTACACCACGCTGCCGCTCACAGTGGGGGCCTGGCCTGGCACGGCACAGATTCCGAAGCCTTTCTCACTTAGTGAAGTAAAATAAATTTATCCTAACTCCCTCTATTAGAGCATTAAGAAGAGCTTAAGCCACTTAATAAATAAACGGTAGCTGGAGCCACCTCTTGACGGATAATCATGTTTTCTCATTTGCAGTGTAAGTACCAGAAGACAAAGTGACTTTAAAATGGCTGGGAGAGTCCCAGTGGTCTGATAACCATTCCAGAGACCACATACGCAAGTGAAGAACAGACTGCTTTAAAAGTGGTGTCTGACAAGGTAAGAGATACTTGTGGCACAGAAGCTATGGAGAATGTAATTATTTACCCTTTTACAACTAATGCAAGAAGTTGAAAATGGAGCTTTCATTTCAAATCCTTTGTATCTGGATGAAACTTTAATTTTACATAATTAAACTGACTTCACAGTTCAGTGTGTTAAAATATGCAATTAAGCAGCATATCAGGGTTAAATGCCTACTGTGGTTGGCTCATTCAGAAATCACGCTGCCGAACTCCCAAACAAGAATGAACACCTGCCTGTCCACTGTTATCCCCAGAGCCAGGGGCAGCACACAGCCCGCAGGGTGACTCCCCAAACTCAGAGTCGGCAGTAGAGTTTGCATACATAAGCTCCTACAGAAAGTTAGTTGGATATTTAAAGAGTTCTCACTTCTCTTTGTTTTTTAGTGTTTTTTCTTTCATGAGAAAATATCCTGGGACTTGAAGGAGCATCATAGATGATTAACTTTATCTCTTACAGAAGTTCCTTCTAAAACAACACTGCATCATCAAAATTGTTGCTTTCTGTTGTTGTATGTTCAAACTCATTCCAATTTTGCCATTTCACATTTTAGGATACATTTCAGCTAAAGACCTCTTTTAATTTAACTTTGCACTCCTGGAAAAGGAGGGCTTAAAGAATGTTGTGGGAGGTGTTGAAGGGAGACACTGAAATGGTCTTGGGGTGAGTTCACCGGGAATTTATCTTAAGGAGCAGTGGTCTATATAGATGGAGTCATTCACAGAGTACCTCCCCCTCATTTTCCCTTTGAATAGCACCTCTGTGATGGTTAATTTATGGCTCAGCAGTACCCTATATTCCCTTTCATTTTAACACTCTGAGTGGAAAATTGTTCAATTAGAACTGTGTTCTCTTCCCTTCTTTAGTATATTCTGGAATTCATGTAACAGTGATTCTTGTTTTGTCCATTGGGTGGTTGTCGGGAAGGACTCATCAACCTAAGCAATATCCTTGCAATGACACATGGGAAACCTGAACCCATTTGGTGGCTTCTCCAGATAAATGGGGAAGTATGTTGTTGCTACATTAATTATAAAAACCACAAAAAGAATATATGATCATGACATGAGACCACTTAGGACGTGAGACCGCTTAAGACATGAGACCACTTAAGACAAACTTCTTTGAATCAGGGGAATACGCAATATTTGTAGGTTTATTCTCTCTATGCTGCTCCTATTACTTATTATAGGATACTAGAGGTCTGGAACACGAAAATTCTTGCACCGGGGGGGGGGGGGGGGGGAGGTGTCCCTCAGCCTGGCCTGTGCCCTCACACAGTCTGGAAGCCCTCAGGGGGTGTCTGACTGATGCAGGATCAGGCCTAAGCTGCAGTCTGGCCTCCCTCTGCATGAGGCAACCAGGCAGGCTATCAGGGGATGGTGCCGGCTGGCAAGTGGCTGGCCCCGCCGCCCCCCCACCACCCCTTTGCCTCCACTGGTTGCCGCCCCCCCCCCCCATCGCCATCCCCTCCCTCTGCCCTCTGGCATGCGCCGTGGCTGGCCTGGCACCGCCTGCTCACCGGCCCTGACCCCTGGCCGAATGGTCGTTCCACCATTCGGTCTATTTGCATATTACTCTTTTATTATATAGGATAAGTTGCTAGGATGATCAACAGACCATAAAACTGGAAGACTATAAAAGATATTACAGAGTGTATGGTGATATAATGTATATAAAAATGCATGATGTTTTACTCTTTTGCGGCAAGGCTTGAGATATGGTGTTATTTGCTTCCATGATACCAGAAGGCATGATGGAGTTACAAAACTCTTATAAAATTTTGTGAGTTTGATTTGCCTCTGTCTCATTGCATTGCCTTGGAACCCAAAAGAAGCCTTGATGACCAAGGGATATCTTTGTAGTTTTATCAGAAAAAATTAATAGTGAAAAAGAATGTTTTAATAAGTTAAAAGTTATATTACTATATCCACGCAAATCGTAAACACACCCATTGATAATCAATTTCATAATTACAAATTATTCTTATCTTGTCAGCTATTTCCTTCCTTATAATCTATAGAATATTAATGGTATTTAGTTTGGGTTATTGCATGCACTTGAAAGCCATAAAATTACTGTTTAGTGAAACTATGCTTATGCAAAAACATGCAAAATCACTGACTGGTCTTCCCTCAAGCAATCTAACTTTGGAAGGTTCAACATGGAAGAAGCGTTTAAATAATACCAAATAATAAACGCTACTTTGCACAGCAACTATAAATCTTACACCATTTCTCAGACACATGCATGTTTGATTTTCTACAAGGCTTAGAATTCTGGTCTCATTGCATACAGAGCCCACTGTACAAAGATCTGAGCTGCCTTCAGAGTAGAGCTACTGGTATCTCACAGAGTTCCAGGTAAAGGAATTCTAGTTGTGAAATAAAAGTGTGGCACAATTGAATGCTTCACCAGTGTGGCCTGATACTCTCTGCTACTTTATTAAATCTGAGTTGATACCGCTACTGGTTTTAGTCCTTGAGAACCAAATGGAATAAACTACACATACATGCAAATGTGTCCCGCACAGTGGAGAAGACGATGAACACAGGAAAATCATACACTGCCCCTAAACCCTTATATTGGCCTCTTAATTTTCTTTTCCATCCACCCTTTTACTAAAGTGTTTCCAATATATCATTGAATGGAACATGATGCTTTCTTTGATGAAAAGCTAAACAGGAAGGATTAGACATCAACATTTAACGGAGTCATCCAGAAGAAAAGACCCCTTTTGAAAACTGGTGAGTGTTTTCCTATAAAGCTGGCTGTTCCTTTCTAAAGCATGAATTCAGAATTGTTGTCACTCGTCCATGTGGACAGGAGTTAGAATTCCCAATCGCCAAGTAAAAATCGTCCTGTTTCTCTTTTTTTGAAATTTCTTCTAATTTGTGGTCAAAGGATGCCCGGAAAGTTAAAGGTTCTCAGTATAACTTTGAGTTGTGTGGTGAATAAAGAGCATTCTGGTACATTACTGGGTAGTGGTGGAGAGCAAGAGTATGTGGACCAAAGTGGTGTTTTCTTTAACTCATTTTCTAGGGCAAGGTAACTTATTTGGATTTTGAGCTGTCCTTATTAACTCTGCAGTGACATTCCGGACAGAGCCCGTGTACATCCAACAAATCCAAAGATAACAGAGAAGGTCCCCAAATGAATGAGCACACACGAGAGCACTTTAAATTTGTTAGATGCTTTATAAAGTATAATACTTAACTTCATATTATCCTTTTTTTACTTTGAAAGTAGTTGCATTTTTAAGAAGTTGCATTTTTAAGAAGTAACTTGCTGGTGAAAAGGTTATTTTTGTGTTTAGAATATTGTTGACAGAACCAAGTAAACTAATATGTGTTCTGTCTATAAATCAGGGAGATAAAGGGTTTGTGGATGAACCTTGCTGCTCTCCCAGACGTTCAATTTTCTCTCCTCATAGTTCGTAGTTTATAAGCATAAACAGTGATGGCCTGCATGCTACACTAATATATGCTTGAGGCTTGTTGAAGCAGTGAAGAGTCTCTGATGTTAGCAACTATTTGAAATGAGCTAAATTTCATAATTCAAGGATGGATTTCGTTCCCAATTAGAAATTAAAGTCAGAAGGAGGCACTCAATTGAAGGTACTGATATAAGTTTATTAAAGTTAAAGATAATATAAATAGAAAACAGTTAAATGAATCTAAGTCTCTACAGAGACAGTAAATTCTATCCCAAGAAATTGGGTTAGAAATCTGGAAAGAAAATTAAAAGATTCATCTTGAATAATGAGTTGATGATACCTTATTGGCCTACTGTAATGTTTCTGTATCATTCACTAGTCAGTGTCCTGTTTTACATCCTAATTTCCTTGTGTTTCAGAAGGTATTTTATTTTTGAGAGAAATCTGAGGACTTTTGATTATCCAGACAACACATTTAAAGTTCAGCTAATTAGGTAATTACTTAAATATCTAACTGTAACTTGGGGGCCAGTATCACTACTTTTCACTGAGAGAATGAGTCTGAATTCAAATAAAGTGATTGTGAACAGTTTAGTCAAATAGACAAAAAAAAGGTGCTATTCATAGCCATTAACTCAGGAAGAGAAGAAACTGGAAAAGAAATGTATTTAAATAATAATAGTGGACTCAGAGAGCCTCAGAAAGGTAAATGTAAAAATGTAATATTTTAATTGTGGAAACTTCTTGAGTTGAGTCTGGGGAAAACTAGATAGCATTAAAAGATGCAGCAAATTAGACCCACAGGGGAAGCACTGATACTTGATAGGAAATAATAGAAAGTATTGTTTTTGTGGTTAGCCGTCCAGGTAAGAGCTCCCCAAAGCAATCTTACCTTTGTTTTCAGCCTTCAGTTCCTCAGCCATCAAGCTGTCTTGTCGGTTACCAAGCACAAATGCCAGAAACGAGAGGATCAGGGCATCCAGAATCCCAATAATAGCCAGGATGTACGCCCAGCGGACAGAGCAAGCCCCGAGGGTGTACTTGTCTGTCTTTTCTCCACACATCCGTTTTACTTCTTCTGAATCCCAGCCATCGGGGAAGATCATACAGCCAAGCACAAGGCAGGCCGCTGAGAGAGAGGGCAAAAACAAAAAGAAAACGAAAGGAGTTAACATAAATTAAAAAACCCCCACACATTTTAAATTCGCCCTTGACCGAAATTGAACCTGGGACTTTTCAGTCCGCAAGCCGACGCTCTACCCATTGTGCCACACCAGCTACATTTTATTTTAGCATCCTACCTGGGATGGATATTCCCCCGCCCCTTACTTTAACTTAAAAGCAGCCCCTTGCCACCCCCAAAAGGGACATCTGGCCCAACTGGCATGGTTCAGTGGTTGAGCGTTGACCTTTGAACCAGGAGTGCTGGGGTCTGTCTCTAGGTTCTGTAGGTTCTGTGTCTAGGTTCTGTGTCTAGGTTCTGTGTCCAGGTTCTGTGTCTAGGTTCTGTGTCCTGTTGTCTTGTTACATCTGTATTTATACCAGTTGATTCCTATCTATCAATCTCTAGTCCAAAGGTTAGGGCGTTTCTTATCTCCATTCCAGGGAGTAAAGATTATGTAGCTTAAGCATGATTGTTCGTAGTTAAAGTGATTAATTACCCACCTGGCACTTAGTTAAGGGGTTTTATTCCCTCCTGAACTTCAGGGGAAAATCCCTACCTGGGGAAACAACCTTTCTCAGAGAAGTGACCTTAGTTAAAACACATAGTGCCAAGAAGGTGAGCAAACATTTTAAGAACAGTATGCCATATATGCCAGGTCCCTTGAAACAGCAAGGATGGACCGGCTCCCGGCACAGGAGGTCATGGTTGGATTCCCAGGTTGCAGGCTTGATCCCTAGTAGGGGTTGTGCAGTAGGTAGTCGATCAGTGATTCTCTCTCATCATTGATGTTTCTATCTCTTTCTCCCTTTCCCTTCCTCTCTGAAATCAATAAAAAAGAATATATACATAAAAGGGGGACATCTGTGATACTTTCAACAATAAAGATAAGTTTTTTTTAAAAAAGCAGCCCAGCGCCCTGTAGGAGCTGTAGGAATGCACTTCAGAGCGAGCCCAGGCATTCTGAGAGAAGTGAAGGGGTTTTGATCTGTAAGAAAATACAAAAAATATTGAATTTTGGTGCTTATTTGTATAAGGCTTCCATTGTAAATAGGAATCATATGTAGAAGAAATCATAACACCACAGAAGGATAATTCAATGCTGGCTTTGAAGAGCTGTGACAGAGCCAGATAAGGGACTAGGATACCGTGGACAATGCCAGAGGGTATATTGACTTTGAGTCACAGCAAAATATAATTTTATGTTGTGATCTCTGAAACACACACACAGAAAAGATTCTTGAAACCGTAGTTTCCACATGCAATTTACTCTGATATTGTCTATCTTACTCTGTTCTATTTCATTTTTTAAAAGGCTGAAAAGCACTGCAACATGGTGTGGCACCACTGAGTTTTATGGGAACTCAGAAATTTAAGGATAATACTTGCATTCTTTAGTGTGTCTGTGGGGTTTCCCAACCACCTCAACAAACAGTACCTACACTCTGACTAGATGTCCCACAATTCAACTCAATTCTGACACTATCTACCTAGAGATAGCACCAGATTCCACAGGTCATGGGACTGCTCCCCCCTTCACATGCCAGTCTCAATCCCAGATTATTACCTGTGTCCTGATAACTGGCTACAAACTGTAGGTTCCAATGACCCCTCCAACGCAGGATGCCAATGGGAAATCTAGGTCAGTACTTCTGACGCACTGGCTATATAAATCAGAGGTTCGCAGGACCCCTTTCTCATGTTCAGTTAATTTGCTAGAGCAGCTCACAGAACTCAGGGAAGCATTTTACTTACTAGATTACTGGTTTATTACAAAAGTATCTATTTAACTCAGAAACAGCCAGAACAGATGTGTAGGGCAGGGTATGGGAAAGGAGCAGAGCGTCCATGCCTTGTCCTGGTGCACCACTTCCAGCACCTCCACATGTTCACCAATCCGGAAGCTCTCCCAACTCCATCCTTTGGGGCTTCTATGGAGGCTTCCCAGGCATGATTGATTAAGACATTGTCCATTGGGGATTGATTCAACCTCCAGCCTATTCCCACTCCAAAGAGGACAAGGGGATGGGACTGAAAGTTCCAACCCTCTAATCACATTTTGGTTCTCCTGACAACCAACCCCCATCCTTAGGTGAGTTCCTAAAGTCACCTTATTCACATAGCAAGAAACATCTCTATGCCAGGAACAGTGGAAGAAGACCAAATACATGTTTCTTATTATAAATCACAATATCACAATTGCCCATCTTTGAACTCCCATAGCTGTTGACTGTACCTACCTTAGAATCCCTGTTACTTTTTATATTTGTTATTTATTTGCAAATATTATCTCAATTAATAGACTATAAGCTTTCTGAGCAAAGAGTCTTTGGTCAGTCATCATATTCATTGCACCTTATACATAGTTGGCATTAAAATACTTTTGAATGGGGGAGTGAATGAATGAATAGATGAATTATAATGGTTAGATGGAATACTCTAAATATAGTTTATAGAAGTCAATATCACAACTACTCAAGCCCACAAAAACTATAAAAGGTCTAGTTACAGAGTCAATTTTGTTATGACTAGACAGCAGATTATAAGTACTTGGAAGAAGAATAATTAGAAAAAAGTGAAGTTAATGATATAAAATATTTTCAAATTCCTGTTCTCTTTGAATCTCTCCGCACTCTATACCAACATTCTCTCTAAGGCATTGTCTAGCAACAACAATGTATGTATTTAAAAAATATGTGGCATTCATGAGCAAAAATTCATTTTATTTGAGAAGACATAGAAGATCTTTGAATCCAAACCATGGTTCAGAAAAATCACCTCTAAGGATGCTATGCTCCTTGGAATACTTAAAAAATATTCTAAATGCTTTTTTACATATTAAATAATTTTGTCTACGAGAAAATTAGTTTCTAATAAAGAGAAAAATCAGCAGAAACCGGTTTGGCTCAGTGGATAGAGCGTCGGCCTGCGGACCGAGGGGTCCCAGGTTCGATTCCAGTCAAGGGCATGTACCTGGGTTGCAGGCACATCCCCAGTGGGAGATGTGCAGGAGGCAGCTGATCGATGTTTCTCTCTCATCGATGTTTCTAGCTCTCTATCTCTCTCCCTTCCTCTCTGTAAAAAATCAATAAAATATATTTTAAAAAAAAAGAGAAAAATCAAATATTTTTCTTTTATGAATGGGAATCCCTTGGAGAATGACTTATAGCTTTAGTAATAGAAATCTCCATTGACTAGTTTAGGCAAATTATTGGACATCACAGGACAAGTTCACTGGAACAGGATGTTTGTGGAATGGTGACATCAACAAAGACATCTTTTCTCAAAGACATCTTCTTTTGCACTCAGGGTAGACTGACTATTAGAAGTTTCCATTTATGGAAACTTAGAAATTGGGATAAAAAGAACAGAGGCAGAATTAGCACTCTGAAACTAAAACTATAGAACAATGGCAATTCTTTGTTCCCTATCTTCAAAGTCTATTTTAAGTGAAGAATCTGAAAAAAAAAAAGACATAATATACAATTGTGCTTAGTTTTATGTTGTTATAAAATTAGAATTTTAAAAATGAAGTTCTTATTTTCCATAGTCTAAGGGTGTTGGCTGTTCAGAGAAATCTTAATATAAGAACTGGGATAACAAGGTCAGGCTTTGGTCTCCTGGGGAAACCAAACCCAGGGTTAGGCCTCTCCCCCGCCCCCAGCAGCTGTGGGCAGGTATCCTTCTGCCCACAAGGCACTGGAATATGTGTTGGACTCTTTGCTCCCTGTTTGTTTGCCTGCTCTTAAAATGACAGATATAATATTTTTATAATTTATATGTTTGGAAAATCTCAATGCTTATATAATAGGGTACTGAAAAATAAAACAATTGCATTAAAAAGTGTTCAAAACGAGGCTAGAGCATCGGCCTATGGACTGAAGGGTCCCAGGTTCGATTCCGGTCAAGGGCAAGTACCTTGGTTGCGGGCACATCCCCAGTAGGGGGTGTGCAGGAGGCAGCTGATCCATGTTTCTCTCTCATGGATGTTTCTAACTCTCTATCCCTCTCCCTTCCTCTCTGTAAAAAAAATCAATAAAATATATTTTTAAAAAAACGTAAGTGAAATCTCTGATTAAAATCCAATTTTTAAATAAATAAACCCTATCCTTTTAAAAGCTGTGTCTCTAGATAGCTAAAACACATTTTATTTTCTGACAACGTATTATCAAAATATACATTCTCTTCCTTCCCCTGTTCAAACTTCTCCTACTCGGCTATCGTGTTTTATTTGTGAAAGGCTGAGGCCCCTGAAAGTTATAGTGTGTTTAAGATTAATGTAAGCCATTAGCATAGCTTAGGCTCTGTTGGTTTCTTTGGAAAGGTATTATTATGCTCTGCATTAATGCTTGAATGCTATAATAAATTCTGTTTTCTGGCATTCGATTAGCCAGAACCTTATTAACCTGCACGATTTGTATAGCCACTGAAAACAAACAGCTGTTCCTAATCCTGACTAAGAAGTACCTGCAAGACCTAGGCTAATGTCTCAGTCAATAAAATATTAAATACTATTCCTCTTGGCTTTATAATTAATTGCTTCTAATTCTTTACAAATTATTCAACCTGTGAGATGTAACACCATCGTTACACTAAACAGTAGACTATACAAAGCACTGGAACATTTGATGAACTTGGACATGCTATTTCCTGACCACGAGGGATACTGGAGAATTAGTTCCAATTGGGCTATTATCCAAAATTGGGTTTCTTATTAGAATGTCACCTAGGAAATGACTACCTTACGTGCAGCTATATATATTCCTTCATCTCGGCAGCAGGTTTTCTGCAAGTATATCAGAGGGACATTCTTGAATGTTAAAGAGAAACGAGAGCCAAGTTGGAGGTGAGCAGAGAAGTAGGATGAAAAGAAAACCGTGTCCTTACTGTATGATTTCATGACATCTTCTAATTGAAAATACATAATAAAGGCATCCTTGTGAGGGCATGATTGTGATCACAATTTT